TATTTTTTATATAATATGATATAATATATTATATGATATAATATATAATATATAATATGATATAATATATATTATATGATATGATATATAATATTATAATATACTATACTATATATTATATATTATATCATATAATAAATTATATGATATAATATATAATATATAATATGATATAATATATATTATATGATATGATATATAATATTATAATATACTATACTATATATTATAATATAATATATTATATATTACATATAGTAGTATATACTATATGTTATGATAACATACTATACTATAGATATTATAGTATATACTATATGCTGTACTAATTTGACTTCAATTGTACTAATTCGACTTCAATTGTACGTATTATGACTTCAATTGTACGAAATTGACCTCAATTGTATTCATTTGACTTCAATTGTATTAATTTGAGTTTAATTGTACGAATACGACTTCAATTGTATTAATATGACTTCAATTGTACTAATTCGACTTCAATTGTACTTATTCGAGTTCAATTGTACTAAGTTGACTTCAATTGTATTAATTTGACTTCAATTGTACTAATTTGACTTTAATTGTACTAATTTGACTTTAATTGTACTAATTTGAATTCAATTGCACTAATTCGACTTTAATTGTACTAATTTGACTTTAATTGTACTAATTTGACTTTAATTGTATTAATTTGATTTCCATTGTACTAATTTGACTTCAATTGTACTAATTTGAGTTCTATTGTACTAATTTGACTTCAATTGTACTAATTTGACTTCAATTGTACTAATTCGACTTCAATTGTACGTATTATGACTTCAATTGTACGAAATTGACTTCAATTGTACTAAATTGACTTCAATTGTATTAATTTGACTTCAATTGTACTAATTTGACTTTAATTGTACTAATTTGACTTCAATTGTACTAATTTGACTTTAATTGTACTAATTTGACTTCAATTGTATTAATTTGACTTTGATTCTACTAATTTGACTTTAATTGTATTAATTCGACTTCAATTGTACTTATTCGAGTTTAATTGTACTAATTTGAGTTCAATTGTACTAATGCGACTTCAATTGTACTAATTCAACTTAAATTGTACTAATTTGACTTCAATTGTAATAATTTGACTTCAATTAGACTAATTCGACTTCAATTGGACTAATTCGACTTCAATTGTACTTATTCGACTTCAATTGTACTAATTTTAGTTCAATTGTACTAATTTTATTAAATGGACAACGTATTCTTGGATTAAGTTTTAAAATTAGTTAAATATCGTATTCTTAGAATACGTTTTACATTTAATTAATTCTAATACGTATTCCCAGAATACGTTCTAAACTGGGGAAAAAAAAACTTGGTGATTTTCACAAATGCACCTGTTTTTGCCGTTATTCGTCTTGATTCCATTTTCAAAACAACCAACTCAATCAAAATGACACTAACAAATAAAAATTATAATAACTATTCTATTTTTAATTAATCAATATACACGAAAATTAATCAACCAATCCACACATTATATAAATCATCCAATTACAAAATATCCATCTCAACAATCATCACAGAGTCTAGTTCGATCGGTGGGAGGATGCGAATATGGACAATGGTCTGCGAAATGTTCGGGATCAGCACATCTACTGCATTGATCCGTCCCCTTCTGCGGCGCGCCCGACGATCCATTTGCATTTTAAAGCGTCTCGTTTGGGCGCGACCGGGTCCAGGCTTCGAGATGATCCTTTGCCAATGCGGAATCAAATTCCATCCCACCTGCGGCCACGTGTCAGGATTTACAATTGGAGCAAAATTCCAATTAGAAAATTGAGCAACCCAGTTCTCCGTCCAAAAGTGGGAATCATACAACAACTTCGGATCATCAGCCCGGTAACGACACACGGCTAATGCATGAGTGCATGGTTTCTGATATGTCTGCCACTTCCGACATGTACAACGGTGCTGCTGATAATAAACCGTAAACACGTTTCCCACAATGATTTATATATATAAATAAACAAAAAAAACTCATTTCAATGGAAAAAAATAAATAAATAATACATACTTGTTTTGCCCTCTTCCATTGGCGCATAGACCGGTTATCACCTTGTACTGGGATCCGTCGGCGTCTGCACATTGCACCTCGTGAGTCGCTGCTGTCCTCTCCAACACCAGATAGGCGGCATTGAGGTCGGTAGGAATGAGACTCCTGCAGCTACTGGACTTTTTTTTGTTCCTTTTCGAACAAATCCAGAGTCTTGTACATTGTTGCCTGTACCAACGCTCTGCAGGGCAGGAACCTAACACCTTTGAGGACGTTGTTGTAACTCTCTAACATATTGGTTGTCAGAGTACCCCATCGATGTTTGTTATCTCTGTACAGGGTCCAATTTTCCGAAAGAATTTGGAAAAGGTAACTGTATGCGTCCGGGTGACATTCCTGAAGCTGCTGTCGACTCTGATCAAATTTGCGGCGAGAACACACTGAACCCAACCTCCAGCACAAAACTCGGACTTTCTTACTCCCATACCTTGAAACCACGTTGCTCCGGAGGTGTCGAAGGCATATCTGATGAAATGCATGGGGTTCGTGCCAAGCCTCCAGTAAATCAACGGCACTCAATATGCCGTTGTCCCTGTCGGAAAAAAGACATATCTCCCTGTCGGAGACACATGATTGCGCAGATGTGTTAGGAAAAAGGACCAGCTAGTCGTGCTTTCTTCGTCCACAATCACCTACGCGACTGGCAATAGACGCTTATTCGCGGTCTGTGCTATGGCAACAAGCAGCTTCCCCTTGTACGAACCTGCTTAGTTGGACATATATTTTTTTTATCAGACACTATTGTAAGTTAGAAAATAAAAAATAAATTTGCAATTAACAAGTAGCTTCCCCTTGTACGAACCTCGCAGGTGCGTGCCGTCGATGCTAATCATTGGCGGGCAAAGATGGAAGGTTCGAATGGCGGGCCCGAATGCCCAGAAGACAAATCTGAATTCTCTGTCTCGAGAATGACGAGCCATTTCTCCATCCTGCCATTTCCACTCTACGACTGTGCCGGGATTTGCCCTTTGAAGGGTGGCAAAAAACCTTGAAATAATAAAAAGGTAACCATAAATAAATAAATAAATAAAGTTACAAACAACACGTAAATACATTTATAATTAATTTTTGCTTACTGTGGGAGTTGTGCGAAGTTCAATTCCCACGTGTCATACAGACGATCGATGGCTTTTTTTCTCCCGTGCCATGCCTTCTTGTAGCTCACGTCGACGCTCCAGACACTTTTTACGTCGGCCTGGACCATTTCCACACTGTAGGTCACCTGCTTCTGAATCTTAGCCACCAGAAGATTTGAAATCATGGTGGCAGTCACATTCTTGTGGTCATTTCTCTCGACCACCTGCATGCAAGTGTGGCTATCGGTCCATTTGGTTACCTCCCACATGTCGTGCTGGAACCCACGAGGATCTCGATATGCACAAATCACGGACAAACATTCAACA